AAAAGCACTCCAGATCCAACAGGACATGAGCCTGCCAAGCTGTCAGGTGATGCTGTCTGGCTTTTTGTGGACTTCTATTCATTCCCTTTCTTGCTTGCTAGCTTTCACTAAGTTAAAATTATTAATAACAGCCACCAGATTATTACCTCATACTGCCTCTTGCTCACTGTTCCTGAAGTGCTTTAACCTGTTCTTGTGCCTCCTCCTCTCCTTCTTCCCCTTTTCACCACAAGCACATTCAATTTTTTTCTAACTTTCCCTTTAATAACCTATGCCTCTCTTCCTTTTTTTGTTTTCGATTTTTTTCTTTCTAAACCCTTCCGTATAATTAAATTCTGTTCATGCACAGGAGGTTTCTCAGGCCAGTTTTGAATTTTCTTGAGATGAAGCTCAGCCCAGGTGAGTATCTGGGTGTTTGCTCAACCCTCCAGGCTCCTGGGCAGGTTTGGAGTTCTCCAATCCCTGCAGAGATGGAAATCCAGGTGCTGCCACCTCAGCTGGGCTGAGAATGGAAATTCTGGGCAGTTTGGAGTTCTCCAATCCCTGCAGAGATGGAAATCCAGCTGCTGCCACCTCAGCTGGGCTGAGAATGGAAATTCTGGGCAGGTTTGGAGTTCTCCAATCCTTGCAGAGATGGAAATCCAGCTGCTGCCGCCTCAGCTGGGCTGAGAATGGAAATTCTGGGCAGGTTTGGAGTTCTCCAATCCCTGCAGAGATGGAAATCCAGCTGCTGCCACCTCAGCTGGGCTCCCTGCCTGTGATGGTTCCCTGTTCTTCCATTTCTATTTTTTCTCTTCCATTCTTTCTCTTCCCTATTCTTTCCTTTCCTTTGGATTTTTCCTTCCTTTCATCTCCCCCCTGTAGAACACTTTTCCATCAGCTTTGCTGATCTATTTCTGGCCCACTTTTAAGCTTTTTACAGTCCTGTTCTCCTTCCACAAGGTTCTGGAAATGTCCTTTCAGATATTTTATGGGCACAAGAGTGCCCTTGGTCCCTTTTTGTGTTTCTGAGCCTCCTTTGGGGCTGTGCTGCCAGGTTCTCCCTCTCCTGGGGAGCTCCAGCTCACCTGGGTGCTCCTTTTGGGATAAATTGATCCATTTTAGGGTTCCATCTGCTTTTTTTTTTTTGTGCCAAAGGAGTCTCAGCCCTTTACAGCCTTGACTTACAGGTTTTCAGCATCTCAGTTTCAATCCCTGCACATTTTCTGTGCTGTGAGGGTCAGACTTTGGCCAGGGCACACTTTCAGAATTGTGGGAGAAAAGAGCTCCCTGTTTTAAACTTTTTTACTTCTCTGCATTTGGGGTTTCTGACAGATAGGGCCTCTGTTAAAGGGAATTTCAGATGAGAACATCACAATTTGCTGTCTTGGAATGAAACCCTGCCACAAATCACATCTGCATGCTAACAACTCTTTTGTGCTGCTTTTCACTCTGTGCATTTCAATACAAGTTCAGGCTCAGATTTTTGGGTAGCATTGAGAGCCACGTGCTCTGTGTGAAAGCAGAACACCAATCTTACACCTCAACATGAATTTTTCAAGCTTATATGAACATTTATAATAAATATTAGGTGCTTTAAATTCAATTTTGCTACTTAGGTATATTATTATGATGTATTTTATTAATATTTCTTATTTTCTCCTTATCTGTAAGATCAGTGCTGGGTCACTTTACACTGCTATAGGAACAGATAATCTAAATATAAAGTTAAGATGTTTGTGTCCTTTTCCCCTATAAATACATAAAGTTTCTTTCTGTAAATCCATGTAAGTCTTTCTATAATTTTTAGAAAACCATAACAGCAGGAAAAAAATATTAAAAACCCAATTATTTTTCTGTAAGTATATGAGAAAATATTAGACAGACTCAGACCAATGGAGATGCAGGTTTCCTTTATTTATTTTTTTTTCCCTATCAAAAGGAACACCTCCAAAACAGTTTGGAAGCAAGAACTCCACATAATTCAAGTAAATGTTTCCTGACAGATGGGTCATGTTGTAAAGGGCAGAGGTTGTATTTTAAAATCTTGCTTTTCATATTTTTTTAAAAAAATCTGCTCAAATTTTGCTCTTTTAAGAAGCAGGCAGTTTTTTGCTGGAGTTTATTCCTAAAAAATAACATTTTGCATTAATTTATGTAGCACTTCTGTCTCCTTCTGTGGAGTGTAAATTGCAAAAGCAAAATTTGGGGAAATTCTGATGGTCTGATTGACTTCTCACCCGGGCCCTGGGGTTTGAGAGAGGCCACAATGAATCTCAACAATTAACAACTCAAAAATCAACTCAGAATTTCCTCCATCCTCTCAAAGACTTCTGGTTTTGATGAGGTCTGGCCATTAATTCCTCTACTCCTGAAATTCCCTCCTCCCTTCAACCACCCCTGCTCCACCCGAATTTAACATTGTCAGCTGAAAGGAACAGAAAAGAAAATTAAATGCATTTAAAATTTTGTTGTTTTCATTGGGTTGTGGATGATTGTCTCATGATTTTAAGTCATAAACATAATTTTTTATTCAGTGTGGAAGCTTGTCAGATTTAGGGACACTTTCCAAGAACTTGATCTAAGTTCAATCTGTTTCCTTCAGATTTTCTTCCATTGTTACAAACAATTTCTTTCAGCTGGAATAAAAACAAAATTTTCAGCTGAAAAATGAATTCTTTTGTTTGGTTGTGCTTAATCTACAAGGTATCTACAGGTAATTCCTTTTATGTTAATGATAATATTTTGTATTATTTGCATGCTCCATGATACCATTTATGTCAACGTGGAGATCAAACTCAAAATTAACCTCACTGCTCAAATCAAGGAAAATATTTATTTTTTATCTGATTTTTCTTAATCAAGGTTTTTTTTGTTTTGTTTGGTTTTGTTTTTTTTTTTTTTTTACTGAAGGGTCTTGGAAATATTACTCTGCAGCAGATTTTTTTTAAATTTTGTACAAGCTGCGTTAAATTTCAACCATCTGAAAAGGAAATAAAATCAGTGTTTGACTGTGGCTAGACCAGGCCATGTTTCTTTTGTGAGAAATTGAAGAGGAGGTTTGCTGTTAAAAAACCAGAATATTCATCTTATTTAATTCTAAGTCATATCCAATGAAAAAAAGGAGAATGAATTCTGGTGTTACATCTGCTGAACAGAATTACTTGCACTAATTTAAAACAATCAAGACAAAAGTGAATCTGCTGATTTGGAAAATGAATCTAAAAATCCAACACTTCCCAATTGATATGATTAAGTTTAAACAGAGCAAAATTCATAATTCCTTCCCAAACCCCCATTGTGCTGCAGGAGGAAGTTGCAGGGTTGGTTTCTGAGTTACATTTGAGGCTGGTAATGAGCAGCTGAAGGTACTGGACTTAAAAAAGTTTTTTAATTTCTTCCTTGAGTTCTGTAAAAGTGGTTTTGGTGAGGTTCTTGTGCTGCAGGTTTGGGTGGGCCAGCAGTGGAAGGACATCCCTGCCCTTGGGAGCAGCCTTTGCCTTGCCCTTAGAAACTCAGTGTAAACTACAGAGAACTTGGCTAAAAACTCCCTTTATTTTCATTTTCTTCCTCTCTTAGTGGCGGTTCAGGCTCGTCTTTCTTCCTTTGACTTTTGGTAGTTTTGTTATTGTTCACATGCAAGAGTAATTACTCAGCTGGTTAATGGATTATGATGCTCCAGTTTGTAATTTGAACACAGAAATCAACCTGGCTGTTAATTCTTTCTAGTGAGAGGTGATGAATAAACCAAATTAAACTTCAGCCAGGGGTGGGAGCAAAGTTGCTGAACCCCCTGGTACCTGGGTGAGGTGGAGAAGTGATGTCAAATTCCTGCCTGGTCCCATTCTTCATGGAAAATGGGAACAATTCTTCCCAGATCCCCCAAGAGAGGAGGCTCTGCTGGCCAGGCTGGGTTCTCCTCTCTCCCACCAGCTGGAATTTCTCTGGATTGTGGCTCTGGAATGTGCCCTTGGCCGCCCAGTATTTCTCCCAGTAAGAAGGAGAGCTATGCCACTTTCCTTTGGTGAATATTATCCATTTAAATTTTAATTGAAATAAATAATTAGCAGATGTATATAAAGTAATTCAGAATTAACAGTTCAGAACAGAGTGGTTCTCTTAATGCTGTTTTGCTTTTGGCAGCAGTAATGGACTTGCAGTTCTAGAAGCATCCCAGTGCATTTCTCTGTAGGGAAGACTGATGAATTAATATCAGGGAATTGTTTTTACTCAGTGTTCCTTAATACATCCATTATTAAATTGAAATGCTGAGAACCTCAGTTGACCCCAGTATTCTTTTAAGGAGTGCTCCCTTTAAGTGTGTTTAGTTCAGAACATTTAGAAATTGTGCTGAAAATTGTTTAAAAAATTTTTGTTAAAATTGTTTAATTTAATCTGGCAGGGTGTTAATATGAATTTAATGTCATTGCTTTGCATTATTTAATGTCATTCATTGTTTTAGTCCTTCCTGTCACCTTTAGTATTATTCTTATTCAGTATTATTCTTATTAGTCAGTAGTATTCATATTCTTCAGTATTATTCTTATTCAGTATTATTCTTATTCGTCAGTATTATTCTTATTTGTCAGTATTATTCATACTCTTCAGTATTATTTTTCAGTATTATTCTTATTCAGTATTATTCATATTCTTCAGTATTATTCTTTTTCTCCAGTATTATTCTCATTCTTACCCTGCAGGTTTTGGTGGCTCAGGTGAAGCTCTGAGTCCTCTGTCACAAAACAGAATTGGTGCTTTCTCCTTCCATTTGTTTAGTCCGGGTTCACCAAGGATGGGTCGCTCAGAAGAAGAATTAAAAGGACAAAGATTTCTGTTGATTTATTTACTTTCTCTTTTTCACAGATCTCTTTATTTGTCCTTTTCCTCCATTCTGCCACATTTCATCAGCAGGCAGTGCCTGCAAAAGCAGCTCCGTCCCCTCACCTTGTCACAGCACAGCAAATTTCATTTCTTGTGGTGCCACCCGACCTTCCCTAAACCGATCCTTACCATCTCCGCAGGGTGTGGCACTGCAACAGGAGGGGCTGAGGATGAGGGGGAGGCCGAAGCCGGCTGGATTGAGGGTGCTGCCATCCTCCTGTCTGTCATCTGCGTGGTCCTGGTCACTGCCTTCAACGACTGGAGCAAGGAGAAGCAGTTCCGGGGGCTGCAGAGCCGCATCGAGCAGGAGCAGAAGTTCACCGTGGTGCGAGGGGGACAGGTCATCCAGATCCCCGTGGCGGAGATCGTGGTTGGGGACATTGCACAGGTCAAATATGGTGAGTGCACGGAGCCTTTGGAGCCTTGGCTTGCTCTGCTGGCCCTTCTGGACACACTTTCCTGGCAGGGTTATAGGACAGAAAATCAGTGTTGGCCATGCTGAGGTGACACCTGAGCTCTCAGGGCAAAAGGAGAACATGAAAACCTGCTGTAAAGCTGCACTAGGAAATCAATTCAATTGGTGCAAACTTCTTTCACTGGCAAGGACTGGTCAGATTTCCAGTTCCTTCCAGTTTTCTGTATTTGTTCTTCCAATTTTCTGCATTTGTCCTTGCTGTTTTCTGTATTTGTTCATACAAAGGTAATTCTCTGTCATGGAGGATTACATTATTCAGGTTAATTTATTTTTGTTTCTGTCCAGTTAGGGGCAAGAGGAGGTGTTTTTAAATGTGGTGTAGAAGGGAATTGGGCCTCTGTGATCACCTCATGTGTTGCTTCAGATCCAGATTGACCCCCCAAATGAGGTGTCTGATAATTCCATGCCATAGGGAAAGCCCTGTGCTCCAGTGGAGTGAGAGGTTCCTGCAGGAGCTCTGTGTGCTCTGGAGGGAGCTGTTAATTCCAGCAATATCCCCCTTCCATCAGCTCTCCGTTTCTCCTGGACTTACCTAAAGGCTCCCTGAGGGGGAAGGGGAAAGGGCAGCTCTGCTATTAATTAGCTGCTCTTAATGAAGTCTGATGGAGAAACCTTCAGGTGATGTGAGGAGCACTTCCCGGGCAAACCCCCACGATGGAGATGTCCATTGTGAGGTAAATGTGATAAATTTGGATTCTGGGAAAGCATGAAGCAGAACATCTTTGCAATAAAGGCCTTTCCTGGCTGGACTGCATTACTGTGGCTCATGTGGACACCATCAGGAGCAATTCCGTCCCTTCTTTCATTTCACCTTTTCATGCAATTAATTGTGATTTTATAACAAAACCCATAGTGAAATTATAAAAACAATCTCATGGAGGTTTTCCATTGCCCTGTTCTGACCACAGGTGACCTTCTACCTGCTGATGGGATATTTATTCAAGGCAATGACCTGAAAATCGATGAGAGCTCCTTGACTGGAGAGTCCGACCAGGTCCGCAAATCCGTGGACAAAGACCCAATGCTGCTGTCAGGTAAGATCTGCCCCACTGTGGAATCCCAGGGCACCAGGAATATTTCTCTGTCTGCTCTGGGGTGCCCTGACCCCCAGGGAAGCTCTGACTTTGACCCTCATTCATGGAGAAAGTTTCCCAGACTTCAAGATAAACCAGAATCCACAAAAGTGTGAAACAGATTATAGAGAGCAGTGTAGTTATATCACTTGGTGAGAAATTTAGTTTTGGGATTTTTAGTATGCTGTGGATGGAAGCAAGATGGAGGGCACAGGGTGTCATCCTGGGTTTCTTCTCCATGTTTCTTCTTCCTCCTTCTTCATGGGTTTGGGTGGCATTTTGTAATTGGGCAGAAAATTCTGCATTACAGCTCTGTGGGATCAGTTATTGGGTTAAAAGGGAAAATAATCCAGGTGTCAGTTCTTAATTGGATAGTTTAGTCTTAAAAGACCTTGTAACAAGAGATTGTTGGCCATTTTGTGCCTTCTAATGAAAAGGTGCAGGACTCACAGCAGTGAAACTGCTTTACTGATAAGAAATAATAAACACCTGAGTCTGAACATGAACTACCATTCAAGTGCTTCAACCCAGACCCAGAAAAATCAAGAACTGGGACTCCCACACCCCATCCCATCCCCTCTGCCTGCTCTGCCCTCTCCAGGTGTGCAGGGCTCAGTCTCAGCTTTGCTGGGTGCCTCTTTGCCTGCCAAAGCTGCTCTGGCAGCCCAGGGCACTTTTTGGAGGATATTTTTATCCGCCTTTGTCATCCAGTTCAGGAGAAGATTCCCTTAGAACAAAACACAGGGATACAAATAGCAAGTTCTTAATTAAAAGGTATTTGGAAACAGTGACACATCTTAAAGGAGGCTCTGATAAATTTCTGAGGGAGGTTGCAGCGCTTTTCCTTTCCAACTGAACCAACCAAATCTCTGCTGGCTTTTAAAGATATTTTCTGATCTTTAGGTTTGAATGGAATTTATTTTGGGGTAGTTTTCTTAACCTAATTTGTGTATTTGTGATGCTTTGCTGAAACTGTTTTCTTGCAGAAGATAAACTTTGTTGGTGACAATTTTCCTTTTAAAAAAAGAGTCTGATGGTGATGGATGTGCAGCCTGAGGTTTGTGCTTAAGCATTAATTCTTGGTTGAGAATAATGCACAACAGGGTTTATTTTGGTTATGTGGTAATATCCCCCTCAATATAGGTTCATAAAGTGTAGCAAATCTCTCTCAATGCTTTCAGAAAGGCCTTGCATAATTTTTTACATTTATTTTTAGCTCTCTGTAACCTGCCTTGCCTCTTTTCAGGCACCCATGTCATGGAAGGCTCTGGGCGGATGCTGGTGACTGCTGTGGGGGTGAATTCTCAGACTGGCATCATCTTCACTCTGCTGGGAGCTGGGGGAGAAGAGGAGGAGAAGAAAGACAAGAAAGGTAAATTTCCCATCACCAGGAGGCTCCAGAGAAAGCTCCTGGGCTTTGTGCAGCCAGAGCTCTCCTCCGCTCTTGACAAATACATGGGATTTTTCAAACTGCCTTTTTTTGTTTTTTATGACACATTTTTATCATCACATGTCACACAGAAAAACAGCTGAAGCTGTTAACCAATAAATCCATTGGATAACAAGATGTTTTTCCAGTGTGAAGCTGCAGGCTCCCAGTCCATACTGAATTGCAAGGGGATACCTGGGCATGCTCCAGTTGCTGTGGCTTCTCTACATGAATCCATGCTCACCTACAGCGTGCTAAGATTTTGTGCTTTTCTATCAATTCAATATTTTCTCCCCAGGAAAAAAAACCCTTTGGCCATGGAAATAGCATCTGTCTTGGAGCTTCAGGATTAAAATAAAGATAAGCTGTGGCTCTTTGCTCGCCTGGTTGTTTAATGTCAGTGGCTGACTTGAGAGGCATTTTAATTTCTTCAGGTGTAAAGGTCGAGCTAAGAATAGTAAAAGCCAAGAATGTAGCAGTAAATGTTAGCAGACAGTTTTACTTTCATGTCCTGCATCAGTTAATGAAATCAAGAAGCCTCTTTGGGCTTTTCACCTTATTACAGTGTGATGTCATAAGCATTTGCTAATTTATGGGCTGCACACTAAGCAGAAACGTGATTTAATGTCTGTCCTTGCCAGTTTTTCTTCGTACAGTCTTGTAAATTGTTCTGCTTCCACAATTTCATTCCAAGTCTGTCCTAAGAATAGTTATCTTTCAGACATGATTAAGGGCCAATAAATACAGGTTTTTCAGACATTTCAGCTCTTTCTAGTGGTGTTCACTATTAATTAAAAAAAAAAGCAGTTAAATCTTTACTAAACATGTTATTTGCTATCTCTCAGGCAATATGATTCCACTCTTTTTTTGTTTCCATCATTTTATATGAAGCTGCAGATAGGAAGGCCAAATTCAAATGGTTTTCAGGACCTACAATTTCCATTTCTGAGTACGTTCAACAAGTGCCTGCCTTTGACTCTTTGCTGCTCAGAGGAAATCCCTTTTTTCCTAAATGAAATGTTTACCATTTCATTTCTGCACAGAAAAGCACAATAGCTGCCAGGCATGGGGGGCTCCAGGAGAATTAAGAGGAGAAAAGACTGAATCTTCCCAAAGCAAAATTCTTATGCCAGACCAGTTTGGAGCAGCACCTTGGAGTTTGCTCTTGCTGTCGTTCAGATCTGGGGGAGAGGAGGAGCAGCTTCACCCCTGTGGGACTGAGAGCTCACTGGGCTGGGTTTAACTGGGCTGGGCTCCTCAGGCTCTGCTCAGGACACTGCTGGTTATTTCAGGTTTCACAGGGAAGAGCCTGGAAAGGCAGGAAAAGAGAAATCAGGGAGGTTCCCCCACACTGTGGCTGTGATTTACCCAAAGATTCTTACAGAGGTGTGTTAGAATTTGGATGCATACACAGAATTTAACTGAACATGGCTCTGTATAAACACCTAAAATAGAAACAATCCATAATATAGAGAATTCCTTCACATTTTCTGATGCAGCTTTGTGCTCGTGCATGGACAGAGCTGGTGGCAGATGGAGGCACCAGCTCAAATGAAAACCTCTGGAACATAAACCTGCAGTTCTCAGAAACCCTGCCCCGTTCAGTCTGTGTGGGTGTGTGCTTTTATTGTTCATTAACACTTTAAAAATCATCATGCAGGTGTGAAACAGGAGGAGGAACAGCAGCTTCCAGGTAGAGTAAGAATTTACCCCATCCAATGATGCAAATCAGGGGGGAACTGCTGATTGAAATATTCATCTTCGAATCAGTCAAGTTGAAATTAAAAAAAATTATTTCAAATCAACAAGATTGCTGGTGCCAAATCTTTTGGTGAGCAGGCATTGTTGGTGTTGCAAATCCTCCCGTTCAGCTGGAATAATCAGCTGTTCTCCAGAAGTAAATTGCAAAGTATTTCGTGTGGAATACTTGATTTGCTGTTAGCAGCTCACGCTGTGCTGGTTGGGGTGGGGATCCAAACGGAATAAAGAGCGAGCACGAGTCACCAAAACAGTTTAAGTCGTTGCCACCACAGTAATCAAATTTGCAATTGAAATTTTCCTCCATGCAGTAGCACAGGGTGTGTTTTTAAATCCTGGGAGCTGTTTATTTTCTTCTCCCAATTTGCCATTTGTAAATAAAATCAGCCCATTCTTCTGCAGTACCAGCCCAGTACAGCATGAAATAATCCCTGTGGGGCAAGGACTGGAGCAGTTTGAAATCTCAGAATCCATGGGAGGACTTGGTTCTGTTGTGAGCAATTAACCACCAGAAACAAAACAAAATAAATTTTAGCTATTATTTGCAGAGACTAATTTTATTGAACTTCACGATAAAAACATAGTAAAATGATAAAACCTTCTTCAAGCTTTTCAGTTTCCTGTTAGGAAAGATTTCTTGTCCAGTTTTGTCTAATATGTGGATAATGACTGAAAAGAAGAAGAGGTTTTCTTTTCTGATTCTTCTTTCATGTCATCACAAACCAGGAAATATTTCATGTCCGTTATCTGGATTTAAAATAACTCCTTATTCTCCTCAAGACTATATTTGCCTTTCCCACATAAAATATAAGTAAATTCCATGTTTCTACTCAGATCAATGTGCATTTTACCTGGGTGATGGCAGGACATGGTTTGAGCCCTGTTGGATGGGGATGCATCAGTGATAATAAATCATAATGGGCAAAATTATTTAAAACATAAAATATTTACCACTCTTCTATGTAGAAGTATGTACAGATGTAGATACAATACATTTTTAAATGCAAATTTTAAAGCTCCACAAACACTGTGTAAATTAACTCCAAAGGAAACATTTCAACCACTTTAAAAATGCATAAATTACATTAAAGTACAAAAAATAAGACATAAAAGGACTAAAGCAATGTACACAGGACTATGTACAGCCAGTTCTCACCAGCTCCTCTAACTTTGCTAAATGTGTTTCATATTTATCTTTTGTTATTATTATTGTTATTCTTATTATTGTTGTTATTATTATTTGAGTTTTCAGCTTACTTTGTGACACCTTCCCAATGCCACATTGCTTTGGAAATTTGTGTTAATTAATTTCAAACTCTTTGATTTTGGGAGCAAACAAAGCCACGAAGGCTTTTCGCTCTGTCACGTGCATTCGTTTGTGTTGCTGTTTTAATTCATTTATTATTTGCTGTTTTATTGTTGTGCTTTTTTGTTTATTTATTATTTTTTTTTATCCATTATTGCTCAGTAGATTCTTCCCATCCCTCCTCCCACCCTCCTCCAGCCACAGATGGTGCAGCAGGTGCAAATGCCACTGATAATGCAAATGCCAGCTTAGTCAATGGTACGTCACAACCCCCGGCTTGTCTGATTTGATGGATTTCTCTCCTGACTGTGTCAAATTCCCTCTCCCCTCGCTGACCTGCACAGATGTTGTGTTTGTGTGCCTGCACTCTGAGAGATCCTGCTCCACACGCTCTGCAGGAGCCTGGCACAGGGGCCACAGGGATGCTGCAGCTTCATCCCCCCAGAATTCAGCCTGGCACAGGCAGAGTTTGGAATCGTGATTTATTTGCCATTTATTTGCAATTAAAAGAAGCAGTTATGTCAGGCCAGTTTCAAAACTTTCAGGCAGATTCACCTGATGTTTTATTATAAAGTTTCATTATCCAGCATAGGTCTGGAGAAGAGCACCATGAGAAAGGGATTCTCTCTGCTTCCCCTCCTTTTCCCTCCTAATTCCTCACACAGTTCTGAGAGAGGGCTGGGATCAGGGATCTGCCTCCATTTCAACAACACCGTGTTAGGAACAGCTTTTGCTGTTTTCAGCATCTGTTTCAGAAGGAACCAAAAGTTTTGTGATATTTGTGTGAGCCCTCAGTGACTTTCTCCTGAGCCTGCCTGTGCAAACTAAACCCAAAGCAAACCATTCCTGCAGCCAGTTTTGACTGTGTCCCAGGACAGATTCCTGACCCTGCTTGTTAGCACGCAGATATTTCAGTGGCTCTCCTAACAGTGAAATTCCAGCGTTAAATTGGATTGAATGGGTCAATATTAGTGTAGGCATCAGCTGTATTTTGCTGCTAATCAGATGCATGAGCCTTTATTTGCCAAGCAACCTTTCCTTCTTGTGCAGAGCCAAAAATACTGAGTAAAGTCATTCTACTTTTCATCACATTGGTGAAAAGTTTTTTTCCATGCAGGTTGCATTTCACGTGTGGAATGAGAGTTTCTGACAGCAATATCAAGTGCTAAACAAGGAACAGGATTTACTGCTGTAGGATCTTATTTAAAACAGTGACACAGGAAATCTTTAAGCCTATTTTCAAATAATTGAAAAGAAACATATAACCAGATTTAAAACCCATTCTGGAAAACTAGGATTTACAGTCCCTACATCTCCTTGCATGCCAGGGACCTCCATCACCCTGGTTCCAGATTCCCTAGAGGGCAAGAACCAGAGGATGAGTTGTGTTTTATTCTCCATTGCTGTGAGGGTGCTGAGGTCCTGACACAGAGCAGCTGTGGCTGCCCCTGGATCCCTGGAATGCCCAAGGCCAGGCTGGACACTGGGGCTTGGAGCACCCTGGGACAGTGGGAGGTGTCCCTGCCATGGCTTGGGACATGATGGATGGGCTTTAAGGTTCCAACCCAAACCATCCTGTGATGGTTCTGCGATAATTCCACTTTGGTGAGTGTAAAATCCCTGCCAGCTGCACAGGAGGGATGGGAGCAGAGTTCAGCCCCTCTTTGCTGGTGCCCTGCAGGTGCAGAACGAGCCCTGGGCTCTGCTCAGAGCTGGGGCTGCCTGGTCAATCCCTGTTGTGTTTGGGCTTAATGCTGAGCTTAATGAGGAAATTGAGTTCCAGGGGATATTAGATCAGTGTCGGAATTAGGGATGTGATTTTCCATCATCCTCTCTCCAGTCAGGAACAGCAGTTACTGCCCGTGTTTATCCTGGAGCTGAGGGATACAAGCTCAGGGCTTTGCAGTGTGGAGTGAATTTTTTTGTGCAGTCAAGGATGTTTTGGATTTTAGTTCCTCTGAGATGGGGCAGGTCAATAATTCTGCTGGACTTTGATCAACAAGGGCAGGAGAAGCTTTCCTCAGTTCAACTGCTCAGAGAACACAGGCATAGGTCTGAGTGCTTTGGAATTATCTGGGAAATGGGCAATGCCAGATTTCTGGTAATTTCTCAGTAGTTTCTCAATTTTAGCACTGCTGGTGAATGCTATACTGAAATTAAATACTGCATATATATGAAATACTGCTGTCCTGAAGTGAAATTGTGAAAATGTAGACATGGTTTGGAAGGGAGAAAGGAGAGAGGATAAGTTACAAAGCAAGGACCCCAAATTCATCTGCATATTCCTTTGGTCTGGATGAAATGCACAATTGCTGCATTTTAAAATGAATATTTTTATATTCATTTAAAGATAAATTAAAAAATAAAAATATTTAAATAAATATTTTTTTAAAATGTGAAAATTATTCCTGAGGTGTGACTGGAAACACGAATTTTACCTACAGTCTTTGTGTAGAAAGTATCTTAAAATAAGAATTAATAATTATATACTTGAATAAGTAGCAAGCTCAGGAAATGCTGTTGCTTGAAAAATTAACCAATTACATTTCAGATAAAATATTTTCATTCTTAATTATCAATAAACACTTGACACAAAGGAGTTTATTGTCAGCCTATGACCCTGTAGTGATAAAATCTTTACTTTAAAGATTTTACTTTACTTTACTTTAATCTTTGCTTTACTTTACTTTAAAAAAAATTCCCTTTGTGACCCAGCCTGTGTATTATGTGCTGTACTAAAGAAACTCTTATAAATTTTTATAAATGTGGAGTTTTAGTAGTTGAGATCAAAATAGAGAATTGTTGCTGATCTCATTATCAGAACTATAGACAATACATTAAGTTTTTGAAAGGTTGCAAGTTAAGGCCATAAACAGAACAGAAAATTTTGCAGAAATGTAGTAATTCAGGAAAAATAATCTCATTCCAAAGTATTATATTTAGTAAAGGTAACTTGGAAAAATGAAAATCAGGGAAGCAGCAATCACTGTTTACAGCTTGTTTACCCCAAATTTGATTTCCTTCTAGTAGCTCCAATTACCCCAAATTTGATTTCCTTCCAGTAGAGCACTGCCACCTTCCTAAATCAGGATTTCCAGGGTGGGTTGTTGGGGTTTTTTGACATTTGTGAGCTAGAGAATTTTCTACTTAAATGTGTGTTCAGAAAATATAGAAAAGGTATAGAAATAACTGACCAGACTCAGAGAAATCTCTGCTGGAATATTTTGCATCTACAGCTAATCCCAGTGCAGGTACTGAGCTACTTCTGCTCTTGCAAAGCAATTTGCAGTCTGAGCTCTTTTTTAAATATTATTTTTCTATTTTAAATACATTTTTGTTTATATTTTAATAATTTTTTGAATTGCAAGTGAAGATATTTATTGAATGCATAGAAGGATTATCTATTTCTGTTTAACAGAGTGATTCCCTCTCAGCACTTGCAACATAATTCCATTATTTTCTTTGGTTGATTCCAAGCACTTCTTCCAATTTAGAAATAATTTCCAAATGAGGGAAATAATTTCCAAAATAGTGATAGGACTTTGTTATTCTGTGTCATTGGCTCTTCCTCAAGGGCTGCAGCAGATAAAGGGGAGGCTTTTTTTGGGAATTTTGTTTGGTGAATTCCATGACTTTTATAGTAAGAATTTAGACAGTAAAGGTGCCACGAGTCCTTTCCAAAATACAAGAATTGTAGTGAGGCAAAAGCATGTGAAAAAATATTTATATTTAAATTCAGAACTTTCAAATCAGCTTCAGAATGCAGATGTTAGAAATGCTATTCTAAACTTTCTGATTTTTCATCCCTGCTTAGGAAAATGATAAAAAACTCAGATGGATTTCTCCAGCCCAAACAACATTTATTTTATTTATCATTCCAAACAGAAAAGGAGAAAATATTTTCAGAATTATGTAAAAAAATATTGTATTTTTAAAGAATTATTTCACATGATGCTATCAAGATATTAATAAATACTCCATCTTTTGAAAATTCTAAATGATGCAGCAAGGAGAGAAGGATGGGGGAGTGTTTGTACCTGGAAGGAGGAAGGATCTCTCAGCAGTGGTGATTCTATCACCTTTCTTTCTGCCTTCATTTCCTTGTTCATATTTTATACCAAAGTTCAGCCTTAAAATTATTTGGCACAGGAGGATATAAATAGTTTACAGCTTCCTTTTCTTTATCTTGATTACCCAAATTAACTTCTCTTTGTTGTTCTGTCTAAATAACTGAACTGTAACTACCTCTGATGACTTCCCCCACTCAATAACCTGAATGCAGCATATTAAGAATATTAAGAATGTATTTTTAAAATACCTGAGTTTAAAATGTTGTTAATGATTGTTTATTTTGTGTACTGCTATTTTCAGGTAGCCAGCCAATTGTTGGTGTAATTTATGATGATAATTATGCTATCAAATAGCAAATATGTCCTAAAAGTAAATATTTTAATTAAGAAAAAAAAATCTCTGTGATGTGCCTGCCAGTTGGGACAGTCATATTTGGGTTTTGTTGGTGATTTTTTTCATTTTGAAAGTTGAATATTGTTGCATTTTTTTGCCACTCCAAGGTTTGGAATTGCACTCTGCAAAAAGGATCTCCAGAGCAGGAAATGGAGCAGACTGCCTGCTCTAAATTAATGCCTTCCAGTTCTTAGGGATGGCTTTATGCTCCAGCCAGAAATCCAAATCTCCAGAGATATTTTGTGTCTTCCAGTAACTTTATTAAAAGCCCTTCTAAGAAAAACAGCCACCAGGCAGGTACTGAGCCCAACTGTGCCCCCAGGCCAAGGTTTATAGGGAATTTCACTGTGGAAAGGAGCTTGGTTTGCTCAGGTTCGTGGATTCCTCTCTTGTGCAAAGTGTAAAGCTCTGGAAGGTGGATTCTGAATTTTTAAAAGTCCTGTTATTGCCAGGGTAGGAATAGAATTAGAAATGCAGACATGGCCAGTGGTTCATTGCAGTAATTCACCTGAGCTCTGAGATGATTTTAGGACATGAAAGCCTTTCCCTGGCTCTGCTTCTGGGCTTTGGAATTTCCCAGTGTGGCACTGGGGCCTATATTTGACAAATATAACACTAATTTGGTCACTTTTGCTCTCCCACTTAATGCAAAGGAAACGTGCAAGAGATGCATCGTAGCTTTTCCATTCTGTTATGATTTATTCACAGCAGAGTGAGAAAATTAATCCACATAGCAGTCAGAAGAACAAGATGTACCTGCTGGCACATTTTTTAATAAATCCTGATGGTACATTTCTTATTAGAATGTGTCAACAATCCTGTAATGGTATTTTAACTGAATTTTCCTTAGCATCATTTTTTATTGTGCATTTTACACAACTACCAAAAGACATTGTCATCCATTCTGAGATAATGTTTGTTGTAACCTTTTCCATAAATTTATATAATTACTGTGCGAGTTTTGTAAGAAATCCCACCAAGAAATTTTTAATTCATTCGAAAATATTTAGCTGTAATTCTGAAGACCAAAGTTTTGTATCTGATTTGTACATTTTTGCCATTTTTATCTCATGCGCACTTTCAAATGACATTTCCACTTGAAAAAGGCACAAAGGAATAAGGACTTTGCTGTGGTAAAACTGTTGGTGGATAAAATGTCAAGCTGGAAATTAAAGAGGAACATGGTAAATCTACGTTCAGGATAAATCTGAATTTAGGTCACCTGGCACTTGTATTTCCAGAAGAAATTTGCTAATTAGTACAACCAAGTGAGGAAGACATAATTTTAAAATCCTATCTGATTTACATTTTTTATTTATTAATTTAGAATTATTAACACCATTGTTTCTATTTTTTTCAATTTAGTAACATGATTAATTTAATTCTGGAATATATTAGGAAAGCCAAACTCTATACTGGTGTGTGCCAGAATTTTTAAGTCCCAGCCCTCTGAAACATCAGCTCAGGAATATTATTCCAATTCTTTTTCCCACCAGATCCACTTTATTAGTTTCCCCCTCTGAATTGATGCAGATTCCTCAAAAATACGTGGTGATATTCAGCATTTGAGGTGTTCCAGCCCTGAGCTTGGCTGGAGTTCCTTGGCCCCTCTGTGAGTGCAGGTGTGAGGGCAGGGGATGGTGCCCGTGGTGTGCTCATGTTTTTTTTGTCTCCCATTTTTATAAATCCCCATTTTCGTGTTCTGTCTCGGCTGAAGGTTGTTTACTGTCTGTTGTCTGTTGGAATTTTTCATCATTTAGGCAAGATGCAGGATGGGAATATGGAGAACAACCAGAACAAAGGTAATCTTCTTTGCTCTTCAGGAGGTTGTGGATTGTATTGTTAGCATGTAGTTCAACCCTGTCCCAAAGTACAGTGAGAACCTGTGGTCTGTGCCTGTGTGTGAAACTGGCCCTAATTGTTCAGAATGTCCAAAAAAACCCCAAACAGCCAACCCCAGCCCGAGAGATTGTAACTCCCACAAGATGCAGATGTTTAGGAGAGGAGCGTTTTAAACGGACCATTTATGGATGTTGCTTTCATCTCACAAAGCTCATTTGGATTAATTGTTCCTGTGCAAGTTGTGTATCCTATGTGTTGTTAGTGATTTTCCAGCCCAGTTTTTTTATGTGTCATCATCTCTGGTGTCTGATGGCATTGTCTGGACATCTCTTCATTTGCAGGGGAAAGGCAAAGCAATAAAGAAAGGAAACCTTAAAGCCAAGGTGTTATCTAGAAGTGTAAAAGCCTTTTATAAGGGCAAACAACAGGAAGATTGAGAGTCCTAGGTGTTTCTTATTTAATATACAATGTCAGGAAGAAATTGGAATCAATATTTTGCTTTCTCTGAAGCAAAGTTATGGTTCCCTTTTTATTATAAGACACAGCTATCAAGAGCTCTTTGGGTTATACCAAATTAAACGACAATTTTCTCTTCTCAGATAATATTGAATATTGTAAAGGTGATGGCTCAGAAACTGGATAGAGAAACTCAGTGGTTCATGGTACAAAGGTACCAAATAAAATGCTATTAAATAATAAGCATTCAGGCTAGGTAGATAAATTAGATTTCCAGGTCAAACAAGCACGGTCTTGTACAATCTCTTCATGAAAGCAAAGCTGTTTCATCTCATCCTATTTTATTTATTGTGCTCAGTACAAACCAGACACATGCACATATATCCACTGCAATGTCATTGCTTTTCAGAAACAGGTAAAAATAAAGTTTCCTTCTGCTGGCATTCTGTCAGGAAAGGAGGGATCAGCCCTGAAACTGTGTGTGGGTTTTGTGGGGGAATGGTGATGCCACCACCACCAGACCCGAGGGCTGAGCACCTTGACCATGGAATGCTGAGGAAACTTTATAACTGAGGGATTTTCTGGAAGGGTGGATGGCAGAGGGTGGACCCCTGGTCACTGAGGTGCCACTGCAACCCAGAAAGGTGACACATGGGCCACTTGTGCAGCCACACTGCCCTCAAAATATTTGCATTGGAAATGTGCATTGCATTCTAAGAGGCACCCAAAAATCCAGAGGAATGTGGAGCTCGGCTGTTGCAGGGAATGCTGCAGTGCTGTCACCTGCCAAGTCACCTGCAAGACATTCAGTGGCATATATGTGTATGGCCCAGAGCATCATGGGTGGGGGTCAAAATGAGGGATAAACCCAGTCAGTGCTTTCCAGCCCAAATCTCCACGTGTCCTGAGGGATGTGCTGGCACAGCTGTGTCCTGCAGAGCCCCGCTGGCTCTCCAGGGAGCCGAGGGTGTCCCTGGCACAGACTGTCCCAGGCAGCCCCTGTGGTGCTGGCTGGGTCAGAGAGGATGAACACAGAGGAGAGGAAGGGATAAAGCTCTGGAGTAACAGTTTTGTTCTGCATTATCAGCCAAGCAGCAGGACGGCGCTGCTGCCATGGAGATGCAGCCGCTGAAGAGCGCGGAAGGGGGAGAGGGAGACGACAAGGACAAGAAGAAATCCAACATGCACAAGAAAGAAAAATCCGTCCTGCAGGGAAAGCTGACCAAGCTGGCAGTGCAGATTGGCAAAGCAGGTATGGCTGGGTGACACCAAACCCCTCTGGGGCACAGGAGGCACAGAGCTGCAGAGCAAATGGTTCTGAAAAGGGACAGGCCCTGTTTTTACTGCAAGATTTGGAAATGGGTCATCACAAAGCTGTTCTAAGGAGAATATGTGGTGCTGGAGATCTTTTATTCTCCTAAAAATCAGCTTTGACTGTCAAGGAGCTTTGGGCAACTTGGATTGTAATGAATATTTGAATCAAAATGAAATGCAGCTTTTCTCAGAGTTAATATTCCCAAGTGCAGTAATTACGTATTTAATTTCCTCTCCCCTCAGAACTTGGGAGTGCACAGTTTCAGAATCTCTAATACCATCTCAAAATATCCCTCACACAGTATTTCCCTCTCATGGATTCTGAAATCATTCTGTTCTCCCCAAATACCCACATTCCTGCCTTCTCCCCAAGCATGACACATCTCTGGACTCCTGTATCCAGAACCATCTGGCCCCTGGGGTTGGAAGCAGCACTTCTCCAACATGTGGGCAGAGAGTGGAAACCTTCCATAAGGGCCTAAAGTTCCTTAAATTTGCTTTTCTCGTGGTAATAAAGAGATTTTGATCTTCTAAAAGGGATTTTGATCTCAGCTCCTTGGTGGAGGCCCTCCCAGATCCCTTTACTCCTGCTCCATCTCCCTCAGCCTTCTCCCCCAGTTTGGATTTTCCCCTTCCCATCCCCCTGTGAGTTCATCACAGGAGTTATCACATAACCCCTCGATGCCAATTCCCTTTGCCTGAGCACAGTGTGACCAAATCCAGGATTATCATCCCTGATATCCAATTTCATGCCTTGCCCCAGTTCATATTCCTCCAGCTCCTCTCCTTTGTTTCCCCTGATGATTAATTCCTTGGATTAAATGCCTTTCTGCACTGCCTTGACTTCTGCTCTGGCACGTGAACATCCCTCTTGACGTAATTGTGTAGGGATTTCTGACCAGAATGTGGCAAGGAACAGGAATTAAATTAATTATCATTGCCTCATTTGGTTTTTCTTTGGTGTTGAGCAGCCTATGGGGATGTCTTGTGTTGTCAGGAGTATTTCCTGTGCAATATTTTAATATATTTTCCTTTATCCTCTGGCACAGAGTGATCTTCCTGACTCATCTGTTTCCTGTCAACCTTAGCATCCTTCAGCTTCACCAATTTTTCAAAAACTGCAGTTAAGACATGAAGTTCACAGCATTCTCCTTCTACTCTATGATCTCATTAGGGAGAAATTAATTTATTCCAAAATGCAGGCTTAATTCCTTCACACAAACCTGCCAAACAGGGCTGTCAGAGCAAGGCAAAGCTGAGGCTTTAGTGGAAATTTTATTTGTGTACTCAAACCCAGGGACAAAACTGTGGAGCAGGAGTGCTATCCCAGCACTTGGGAGAGTGGATGGAATGCCTGGGACAATTTGTGATTTCTGTGAAATATTTATTGGTGGCTCTGTCTCTTTGGAACCTCTTCTCATGAAAATACACAGTCTGCAGATGTTCCCTTGAAAAGGGACACCTTGGAAACACCAGTACATTAGTCACATTTTAAAGAAACCCAGTGAAAAACTGTCCTGTGGATAATTCTGCATTATTGCATCTTCATATTCACCCAGCCTCATCTGTAGGGCTTTTATACAGCAACATGGGAGGCTCCTTTGCTCAAGCCTCTAAAGATATACTTACTTAGAAGAAAGGTGTTTAAATATGGATAGACAAGTAATTTCTAAAAGGTGAGGGTTAAAAGGACAGATAAATGTTGTACCAGGCAAAGTAATGTGCTAAATTGAATAAGCTTAACTTAAGTGACAGCAGAACTCCTGCACTGCCTGGGAAGTTGTAAAGGCAGCAGTAAGTGCTTGAAACCGAATTCTTAGAATTCCTTGTGCACTGTAAATATATTATGGCAATGTTTTTTCTTCATTGTATGGTTTATTGTTATTGGTACTGGTGAAACATGTCACAAAGAAAGAAAAAATAATTTCCTATCAAATCCCAGTTTCTAATGGCTCATGTTCTCAGTGCTGTTTTTGGGTTTATGGTAACTGGTGATTTCTCCTCGCAGGTCTGGTGATGTCTGCCATCACTGTCATCATCTTGGTACTGTATTTTGCCATTGACACCTTTGTGGTCAACAAGAAGCAGTGGTTGCCTGAGTGCACTCCTGTCTACGTTCAGTATTTTGTTAAATTCTTCATTATTGGTGTTACTGTGCTCGTGGTTGCTGTTCCTGAGGGACTCCCACTTGCTGTCACTATTTCTCTGGCTTATTCTGTAAAGGTAAGAGACATTCAAAATAATCCAGGGAGAAAAGTGCTGTTTGCTTGAGCTCACCACTGAGTTGGTCCCCAGGTTTTATCAGATGGGATGAAAAATGGTCTGAAAATTATGTGCTCAAAATATTCATGAAATTGCTTTAAAGAACACTTGTATTGAAAGTATTTCTAACAAAAATGCCAATACATCTTTCAGCACATTTCCTTAAAACTGCACAGTGAAGGAATATCAAGCAGTAGAAATACCTACTTAATTTGCAAGGAACCAGGAATTTATTGAGCAGAATGTACTCTGAAAATAGTCCAGTCTTTTGATATAGAATAATTTTGTATTCAAATTTTCCTGTGCAACTATACAAAGTTTTGACAAGGATTTGAAGTCTTCAGGAACACTTCTCAGAGAAATTGGAGCTTCTCAAAGAAATTAAGAGTTTCACTGAAGCTTTCATGTACTTTTCTTAAATGCAGTTGCAGTTCTTTGAAGTCAATGTAAATGGTTCTATTAGGAAATTAAAGAGGATTAACATTCTGGACTTCAGGATTACTTGAGCAATTTAATTAGATGATTTAAACATTCTGGGAATCTTAGATGAAGATGGTGTAAAGTTGATTTCCATTTAGCATGTAAACAAATTAACTTAGGAAGTTTAGGAAGGAATCTCTTGGCATCTGTGCAGCCAAATATCACAATTATTTAAAAAAGGAGCAAGTCTGAAAGATGGGGTTTTGCTAATGAAGAATGCAGCTGCTTTGCAAATGTTTTCTCATTTTCCTGATGTCCTTCCTCTGCCATCCTTTTTCTCTTCCTTTCTCTTTGCTTTTCTCCCAAAACGTGTGGTGCTTCTGTGTGCTGCCAGATAATATCCTGGCATTCCAAGCAGTGTAAAGAAAAAAATCCAAAATATTTGCTATAACAATAGTGTTTAAAATCTCTGGTTCCTTTAGCTCATCTTTGCTGTTCCAGCTATTCCTTAAAATGCAAACCTACTGCAAGAAAATTATGCAACTCTTTTTAAAAGTTTATCAAAGGCAAAGTTACCTCAGGGATAGGCACAGCTTTGCTGTCTGTAACTGGGATTTGAGGTTATTGGCCCTCACCAAAGCTCTGATTTAGGGGACATCATGTTCTCACCAGCAGGACTAACCATGGGCTGCCTTCCTTTTTATGACTAAAAACATCAAAAGCCAGAATCTAAGGGTTTCTTACTTGAGTTTTTGGTGGGCTTTCCCCTCAGAAAATGATCAGGGAAAACAACATGTTCCAGCTATTCCTTAAAATGCAAACCTACTGCAAGAAAATGATGCAACTCTTTTAGTTTATCAAAGGCAAAATTACCTCAGGGAAAGGCAAAGTTACCTCAGGGATAGGCACAGCTTTGCTGTCTATAACTGGGATTTGAGGTTATTGGCCCTCACCAAAGCTCTGCTTTAGGGGACTTCATGTTCTCACCAGCAGGACTAACCATGGGCTGCTTTCCTTTTTATGACTAAAAACATCAAAAGCCAGAATCTAAGGGTTTCTTACTTGAGTATTTGGTGGGCTTTCCCCTCAGAAAATGATCAGGGAAAACAACATGTTCCAGCTATTCCTTAAAATGCAAACCTACTGCAAGAAAATGATGCAACTCTTTTAGTTTATCAAAGGCAAAATTACCTCAGGGAAGGGAAAAATTTCTTCAAGGATGGGCACAGTTTTGCTTTCTGTAACTGGGATTTGGGGTTATTGGCCCTCACCAAAGCTCTGCTTTAGGGGACGTTCTCACCAGCAAGACAAACTGTGGGCTGCTTTCCTTTTTACGACTAAAATCCTATCAAAGTCGACATTAAAGGGTTTCTTGCTTGGGTTTTGGTGGGTGCAAACCTTCTGCAGGAAAACGATGCAATTCTTTTAGGTTATCAAAGGCAAAATTACCTCAGGAAAAAGCAAAATTACCTCAGGGAAAGGCAAAGTTACCTCAGGGATAGGCACATCTTTGCTGTCTGTAACCTGGATTTGAGGTTATCGGCCCTCACCAAAGCTCTGCTTTAGGGAGCGTTCTCATGTGGGCTGCGTTGCTTTTTATGACTAAAATCCTGTCAAAGCTGACATCAAAGGGTTCCTTACTTGGCTTTTGGTGGGTTTCCCCCTCAGAAAATGATGAGGGACAACAACCTGGTGCGGCACCTGGACGCCTGCGAGACCATGGGCAACGCCACGGCCATCTGCTCGGACAAGACGGGCACGCTGACCACCAACCGCATGACCGTGGTGCAGGCCTACGTGGGCGACGTCCACTACAAGGAGATCCCCGACCCCGACTCCATCCCTGCCAAAACCATGGAGCTGCTGGTCAATGCAATCGCTATCAACAGTGCTTACACTACCAAAATTCTGGTGAGTAGGTGCTTGGGTTTTTTGGGGCTGTGAAGTGAGGCCTAGCAGTGATGCCATGTGAGGGCTGAGCTAAAACAGAGACCAGGCAGAGCTAAAGAATAAATTAGGGATTTATTAAAAGGATCTCCTCAACGGCAGCACAAGAGCCCAGCCAGGACTACACCCAAGATGAACCAAAATGGTCCCAAAATGGTCAACTGGTCACAGGTTTTCTCACTTTCATTAATTTTGGCCTATTAGCATTTTGGAATTAATTGTCCAATTACAGCTTTAGGTTAGGAATCTCATCCTTCTTGTTTTTCTCTCTCCAGCCCACACTGTTTGTGCTCTTGGGCCTGAGATTTGGATCATTTGTCCTTGGTCCCCAGCTAGAGAAGGAATTGTTTTGTCTCCCTACTCTTTGAAGAGAGTTTACTATTCTCTTATATAAAGCCCAGACCTGTGAATTTTTTGTTTGTGTTTTCTGCTTTTATTAAGGTTGGGATTGAAGGCACTTGAGACAGTATTTTATGTTTGGACATAGGTGTTCATTATTTATCAGTGAAACAGCTATGAGTTTGGTAGCTTTTTATTAGAAAGGCACAAAATGCCTTACTAATTACTTAACTATATTTTGTTACAAGGTCTTTTAAGACTAAACAGTCTAATAAGAAATCACACTTAGATTATTTTCTTTTTTAACTTAATAACTGATCTTTTGAAGCTTGCAATGCAGACTTTTATGTTTTATTATAAAATACTACTTAAACTCATGAAGAAGAAGGAAGTAAGTGAAGAGTAACTTTCTTCTACTCTAAAACTTTTATCTTGCTTCATATTTATTTTTATATTCTAAAAGGAGGGTTTAAGTTTGCTACTTTGTGATATTACACACTTTTAACTAACTACACACTTGTAATCTTAGTACTATTAATTAATTTTGGAAGTCTTTCCTACAGCTTCAGGTTAAATGCAGTGTTTTCTTGTGTCTGAGCCTTTCAGCACAGAAAGTTTAAAATTTTCAGCATCTAGGATTCTAACCCAGATCCACAAATGAAAGCAGCACAGAATCTGAAAAATATAAAAGCTAAAACCTCAGGTATCAGCAGAAAGAGGTATAATATTTTTTTTAAGTGTTTATTCCCTAATGTGTTATTGTAAATGATGAAGCATTAAATACTGTTGAGGTCTTCAAAATGAGAACAGGTGCTCTAAAAACTGTATATTTTATTGTTTTTTTCAAGGACAGGGATTTATGTAAGAATACAAGACCATGAGAAATTAAAAAAAACTCCTGCTGTCATTAGATTGGGGTAGCTCAGTTTTGGTGCAGATAAATTTGGGAACACAAATGTGTTGGTAACACATCTGGTTTTCACTGAGTCTTCATATGTGAAAAATGATTTTTGTGTGTCTAAGAATTTTCAATTAATTCTCAAAGAGCACAAATTGGATTGGTTAAATCAGTAAGGTCAATGACCTTTATTCACTGTGGTTTCAGGTGAGTTACATCCTGAAGTATTTTATTCACTCTGTACAGGAGGCCAGAATGGAAAATATCTGGTTTGCTTGTGGCATTGGATTCTTTTGTACAGAACTAATTAAGAGACTGAATTTTTTTTGCAATTCCAATAGATTTGTTCTTTGAAAGGTCAAGCTGAATGTTACTGTTGCTGTACAAATAGATTTTTTTACTTTCTAGTTTATGAATACAAGTATTGTCCTTTTTATAGGTCTGTGCTGAGCTGCAGAATAAAGTCAGATGTGTACTTGGTGTTTGTTTTAAAAGTGGTCTCTTAAAATGCAATCAGAGAAAACAAATCCTGTGTGATAACTCATAGTGGATATTTTATGGCAGCAGCTCCTTAAATTTTATTTGTGCATTTCCAAACCAGCAAGAACAGTTTGCTTTTGCTGGGTAATTCCTGCTATCACAAATCGATGTAACATTTGATTGCTAGGGAGAGGAAAATGCACCTTGGTTATTTAAATGTTGTTACAGCCTCAGTCAGCTCAGGTTCTTCCTCCTGGAGAAAGAGAATAAAACACCCTGAAGAGGCAGGATCAGGACAAGGCAAGGGGTTTGACTTTGGGAAGGCTTTGGGAGAGCATTCCCAGTGTCAGCAGAATTTTCCTCATTCCCAGGGAGCAGCAGGGCAGGCAGGGGTTGGTTTTTCAGTCAGGTGTGACTGGCAGAGGCTTATACAGAGTTTTATATTTTGCTGCTCATTCTGAGATCAAAGCCAGTACCAAAGTGTTTCTGCTCAGCTTTCACACCAGTTCACCCCTCTGAATCCCAGAGTAAATGGGAAATCATCCGACCTTCCACATCTGCAATATTAGGTTTAATAATCTGTCATTTTATTGTGGTTTACTGAAACATTTTTGGTCAATACTGTCTCTAAAATGGTCTCAATATAATTTTTTTTTCTCTGACTTGGCTTCATTGCTCCTTGTTGTAATTCCTTCTATGTGCCTATTAAAAAGAGTCAATATTTCAGCATTTCAGTGCTTTTTTATCTTTGCACAGAGACTGATTCTAAACTGAAAAAGGGGTGAAATCCTCTGGATGCAGATCAGTGACTACTTGAAAAATCTGTTTAAAATTAATGGAGATCTTTTAGATCTTATGAGCTAAATCTTTGCAATATGGACTCCACGAGAACACAGCTCCAATCTCAGGGGATTTCATTTTATTCACAGTTTATAACAAGCTGACCTTTAAGATGCAGGATATTGTTCCATAGCCCATTTTGAATCCCAAATAAATACAGTAAAAGGCACCTGAGGGAGCTGTTTCCAGGATAAATAGACAGAATTCTTTTCCTTCCTGCTCATACAGAATGCATGCTCGTGCGCTCGTTCTTGCAGCATGTTTAATCAAATTGTGAATTTCAGCTGAAACCCAAAGGGCATTGGAAGGGTTCTGTCGCCAAGAGTGAGTTTTGCATATTCTATTTTTAGCTCTCCAGCTACATGTGCGCTGTAAATTGCTCTTTGTGTGAACTTCTGTTCACAAGGATCACATATGGGACCATAAAATTAGTCAAGATGCTCTGCTGAATGAGAAATATTCCCTCTTGCATTGTCTTTTGATTAAGGGGCAACTGAACCATTGATAAAAATATAAAAAGGGAATAACATCAGTGCTTGGCATAAAAGATTTGAATTTCCCTGAGAAATTAAACACAATTTATTCCAACTGAACAATAGCATCATTAAATATAGCTCTTTTTACTGCTTTCCAAGATTGGGTGAGCTGATTTGGCATCCCTTTAGCTTCAG